AAGAGCACACCTGTCAAAGGCAGGACATGGTGGCCATCTAGTCAGTGCTGGCTCTAAAAGCCACAGAACATCTCTAGGAGGGTCTGTCCTATACGACCAGTAAGCAAGTCACTAAACCAGACTAACAGTTTAACTATAACTTAAACCTTTCATTTCAGAAGGCAAGCACATTCAGGTTTGGCATGTTGTGCTATAACTCATCTATACTATATACCTATATTTTCATTTCCTGTGTGGCAAAATGAGACATTATAATAAAGTCCTAGAGACATAGCTAAAATAGGACCACTTTTCTTTCTAAATGAATGCCAGTTACAAGAAGGAAAATAGACAGTATTTCATCAGATTAGTTATATCCAGTATTACAGTATCATCTTTGATGGTCTAAGAACTATGTTGTGGTTTGAATATGAACTGACCCCACAGGTTTGTTTTGAACCCCTAATTCAAACCTGGTAGTGCTATTCTGGAAGGCTATAGAAACTTTAGGAGATGGGGCCTAGCTTGAGGAAGTAGGTCACTAGGGCATGCCTTGAAGGTGATATTGGTCTCAGTCCTTTCCTCTCTGCTTTCTATCCATTATGAGGTGAGCAGCCTCTGCCAAATGTTCCTGCCACCATGATGTTCTGCCCAGAATCAATGGAACCAAAGACTGTGGAGTGAAATCTCTGAAACCATGAGCCAAAATAAATCCTTCTTGTTACAGCACCAAGAAAAGTAGCTTAAGCAGACAATATCATATAACTAGATATAGATACAGATATTTAAGTTAAATTGATTTCTGACCGTTTCCACAAAAACCTTTGGCACTGGAAGATCAATGCCAACAAAACATACCATTCACATAGGCCTTCATATTCACATGTTAAAACAAAGAAACCACCTGTTCCCTGAATGCAATGATATTTTGCATATTTTAATATAGGCATCTGAAAGGAAAAGGACTGGCTTTTTTAAAGAACCCTCTGCAGCACCAAAGTACAAACTATTTATGACATACCAGGAAATGAACAGAGGCTCAGAATGTACTTACATTTTATCAAAAACAAAACCAAAAACAAACCAGGTGCCAGTGGCTCATGTGTGTACTTCTACTCAGGAAGATGAGATTTAAAGATTGCAGTTCAAAGACAGCCTGGGCAAGAAAGTCTCTGAAAGACTCTGATCTCCAATTAACTACCAAAAAAGCTGAAAATGGAGTTGTGGCTCAAGTGAATGAGTGCCAGCCTTGAACTAAAAGGCTCAGGGACAGTGCCCAGACCAGACTGTCTACATGCTAAGGGCAATGATGTCTGAAGAACTAGGGATAAGCTGTATCAAATACTGTGGCTAACATAAAAAAAAAAATCTGATTTACAAAAATGCTCATCTAAAGCCTGCTTATACTGAGTTCTTCCTATACAATAAAGTTTTTCTTGCCAGAGATCACCTACCCCAGGGCAAAATTGCTGTCTTCCTTCCAGTCTATGATGCGGCAGATGAACAGTGTGTTGGCATAATCTTTAGGCCGGGTCACGAAGTCCTGGGGACAATCCTTGAGAGGTACATAAATTCTAGGCACTCGGTGGTCTGAAGGAGAAAACAGGGCATATTTCCTAAACAGTTCACTGTTCTTATCAGCCAAGAGTTTGAGAACGCCAGTTGCTGCTCGAGAATGTTTTTTCTCCAAGATGTAAACCACCTGCAAACATCAAAAATAAAGTTAGTATTATTCATCTACAGAACAAGCATTAGTTGACCAGTTTGGGAAGTCAGCAAGCTTCTGCCTGATCACCTAGGTGAGTCCAGCAGTTTTTAGAGTCATCATGAAGGGTCTCTCAATGATGTTCTAAGTAATCTATATCTAAATTACAACAATGTAAGGATCTAATAAGCATATGGATATCTAATAAGCAGCATTTGCAGCACTTGGATAAATAAAAGTGTTTTCATAACCAAAGTGTTGCCTTATGGAAATGTGTCAGACTCCAGCAGGGGAGTACAACTCCAAATATTTATTCTACATTGTATTTCCCCCACATGACCAATACTATGACTTCCCATCAACAACACAAGTGCTTTTAACAATTGTTATTAAACATAAGTTACAGTTCTCAATAATAACTTCTATTTTTGCTGAGTTTTTCTATTTTCTTAAATGATTTCTAATACTTGCCAAAGCATCTTTATAATGGCCACTGTATAATCTTTGTCAGATAATTTCAATAGCTTGGCACTGAAGTTGTTGAATATCTTTCCTCACTCAAGTTGTGAATTTCCTGATTCTTTCAATTACATTCTGGACTATGTGACTATCATGTTAAGAGACTCTGAGCCACACTTAAAATCTTCCGTTTTGGAAGGCAATCGTGTATTGGTTCTGGCCTACTGCGATGGGCTGTATATTCAATGACAATTTCATTTCAGAGCCTTTGCAGTATCATTTTGGTATTTTGGGGTTTATATGGTGATCATGGGCTATCACTGTCCTACTGGTTCTGCCTGTGAGGTGAAGGGCTATGTCACCTAGAAGTGGTGATCTCAATGACAATCTCTAGCTTGCAGAGACAAAGAGACTTCCTGTTTGGGGATTCTTATTGTGAGAGTCTCTCTATTACCTGGCTGCCCAGTGTCTCTGGGTATGTAAGGGAGTCTCTAGTCTACAGGGAGAAGATGCTTCCTGGATCGCACCAATTACAGCAGGATCTCCCTGGCTAATACCACTAAACTGCTTGTTAATACTGCATGAAGAAAAAGGAAGGTCCCAAACTGGGCAGGCTATTACAATAAGATTTCTTTTTTTTTTTTTAATTTTCTTGGCGTGGTTGGTGTCTCTGGTGGGGAGACAGTAATCTCTGAACCACAGTCTAAAGAATTTTCCTCAGCTGAGTTATTTCTTTCAGTGGCATCTCACTTGTTGGAATGAATCAGATATTGGCTACCTCTTGGTAGAGAGAGAAGTCGGAGGTCTAAGGCAGATGAGGGCCTTTCCTCTGGCCATTTACTACCATAAGGGCTCACAGGCAATTCCACTTCCAGGTACTGTTGAGATTGCCTGGTGTTTCTGTGTTAGATGCAAGAGGACTGAGTCTCCCTGGGTCATCCTCTGATGGTTAAGGCACTACGGAATTTCTCTAGTTTGCCTGCCTTCCTTCACCTTTCAAAGTTCTCCTTCAGTTATCTCTTCTTTTTATGGAGGAAAGGGTTTCTTTTTTTTTTTGGGTCCGGTCGTGAGGCCTGAACTCTGGGCCTGGGCGCTATCCCTCAGCTCTTCAGCTCAAGGCTAGCACTCTACCACTTAAGCTACAGCGCCACTTCTGACTTTTTTCCTTTTTGCTTATGTGGTGCTGGGAAATCAAACCCAGGGCCTCAGGCATGCAAGGCAAGCACTCTACCACTGAGCCACCTTCCCAGCCCCAAGTCCTTGCTTCTTGATTTAACTTCAGCACCCAAGTAGAAAACAGGAGGGTGTTACCTGTGATTCACACAGTGTTAGTTATCATGTAGATGACTCCAGCATAAATTTTGCATTAAGTATTGTTTTTACCTTGTAATTTTGGGTTGAATTCATTAAGAAACATTAACCAAAAGGAAAAAAAAAAGGAAGAGAAAGAATGCAGGTATTCTTGGAAAGTAGTAGCAAATCAAAGAATACAAGTTCCATGGACAGAGATACAGTCACAAGGACCAAGGCCCAGTATAGTCAGATAGTTTGTTTAATGTAAGCTATTCTGTCAAAATTTTTATACTGCACAGATATCTCATATGCATGTGCTTGGACATATACATAACTTAGAAATTCCTCATGTCAAAAAAAAACAAACATGAGACAACCAAAGGAAAATTGACAAGTAAAAAGAAGACAAATTAGACCCAACACTGGATTATCTTCCCTATCTTGCATATTGCCTGGTAATAGTTGGTCCTCAAAATACCTATTGGAGTGAAAACCTAGACTACTGAGTGGGCATGGGAGTAACACATACAAGAGTGTAATTACAAATTCTTCATGTCTACATACAGGAGAGATAGTTTCTTAACCAACTGGCTGGTGGGTGGTCACATGGATTCTCAGAGCAAACATTCTGATAGAAGCCTCTAGTACTGGAAGTCTCACACTATAAGATGATTTTTTTTTCATTTAAGAAGTTTTTAATGAAAGTTGTATATGAGATTACTTCATGGCCTACATCTTCTCAATTGTTTCTTCCTTGGATTTGCCGTTTTCCTCTCCGGGATGTGGCTTTCCAGTTCAGGATCTTTTTGCAGTCTTTGTCCAGTCTCAGCTTGGTGATAACCACCGTGCTTGGGTGAATGCCTACATGTAGAGTGGTGCCATTAGCCTTTTCCTGCCGTACCTGTTCAATGTAATGACATACTTCTTCCTACAAACCTGTTGACCTTTACAGTATCCTCACACAACCTGGACCTTACCATTCCTCCAGATAGATGGGCATAGTAGCACATTGTACTTCTGTCTCAGGTCTTTGGAAAGAGAGGAAGACAATCTTCCTGTGAATGTGGGAAGGTACATTGAAATGCCTTTTCTGGTTCTTGATTCAGTCAGAAATGATAAAGGGATTGAACTTCATTTTGGCTGAAAAGTGCTACCACGAGCTATTTATATAGCAAGAGCCATATTTGAAGATGCCAACAGCATATAAAATTTTTGCAAAAAGGGCTGGGAAGGTGGCTCAGTGGTAGAGCGCTTGCCTTGCAAGCCTGAGGCCCTGGGTTCGATTCCTCAGCACCATATAAGCAAAAAGAAAAAAAGCTGGAAGTGGCGCTGTGGCTCAAGTGGTAGAGCGCTAGCCTTGAGCTGAAGAGCTGAGGGACAGCGCCCAGGCCCAGAGTTTAGGCCCCACGACCGGACCCAAAAAAAAAAAAATTTTTTTTTGCAAAAAAAAAGAACTATGTAAAACAATTAAACAAGAATATAAAAATAATCATGTGATAACTATACTGAATACTTACAAAAATTATAGAAGACACTAAAATTTACTTTTCTTCCTTTTTGTTGGGGGCAGGGGGCAGTCCTGGGGCTTGAACTCAGGGTCTTGGCACTATCTCTGAGCATTTTTTGCTGAAGGCTAGTACTCTTACCACTTGAGCCACAGCTTCACTACCTAAAATTTATTTTTTGAGTTAAGTATGGACCTGACAACTCCTTGAATTTTATAAAAACAATTAAAAAATGGAACAAAAATGCCAGTGCTGGCATTATAATCCTTGCTACTCAGGAGTCTGACATCTGAGGACTGTGGTTTGAAGCCAGCTTAGTCAGAAAAGTGTGTGAGACTCTTATCCAATTAACCATTGAAGAGCCAGAAGTGGAGCTGTGGCTCAAGTGACAGAACACTAACCTTGAGCAAAAAAGTTCAGAGGCAATACCTAGACTCTGACCTGAGTTCAAGCCTCAGGATTGGCACTAAAAAAATTAATAAAGGAACAAAAACTTCTAGAAAGGGTCCCTTTTCTTTTTGCCAGTCCTGGGACTTGAACTTAAGGCCTGGGCAAGCTTCTTTTGCTCAAGGCTACTCAAGCCACCGTACCACTTCTGCCTTTTTCTGTTTATTGTGGTACTGAGGAATCAAACAGGGCTTCATGCATGCTAGGCAAGCACTGTACCACTAAGCCACATTCTCAGTCCCAAGAGTCCATATTTATATTGTTCTTCCACTGTCTGAATTTTTATTCTACTTTATTCTCTTTTCTGAGAGGGAGGCAGTACTGGGTTTTGAACTCAGAGCCTTGTACTTGCTAGGGAGGTACTCTATGACTTGAGTTACACTTCCAGCCCTTACTCTGCCTTAAATTAAATAACAACAAAAAATTGAAGTTCAAAACAATTCACTACAAGTAAAGTTTAATCAAGGAACATAATGCAAAACTCCAAACACAACCATACTCAAGGAAAAGGACTTAGACCTTTAACCAAATACAGGCAAATTAATATTATATATAGATAGATAGATAGATGTTTAAAATACATTTAAAAAAGAACTATTCACACTAGCAACTAGTGCCTCACATATGTATTTCTAACTACTCAGAAGGCTAGGAATTGGAGGATCATAGTTCAAAGCCTGACCAGGTAGAAAAGTCTGTTAAGACTCCATCTCCAAAATAACTAGAGAAAGGCTGGGCTGGAAGTGCAGCTCAAGCAGTGGAGCAAACAAGCTGAATAAGAACAAGGCTCCAGGTTCAATTCCGTTCCCCCCCCCAACAAGCCAACTATTTACTTATCATAACTCCCTGCTTGGCTCAGTGGTAGAGTGCTTGCTTGCATACATGAGGCCCTGGGTTCGATTCCTCAGCACCACATAAGCAGAAAAAGCTGGAAGTAGCACTGTGGCTCAAGTGGTAGAGCACTAGCCTTGAGCAGAAGAGCTGAGGGACAGCACCCCGGCCCAGAGTTCAAGCCCCACAACCGGCAAAAAAATAAAAAATGAAAAATAACTCCCTGCTTGCACTGACTTTCTGGTCAACTGACCAACTACAGTCTTGCACTAATCGTTTATTTGGACAAGTAGAGAATATCTGTAGGCAATGACCTTGGCTGATTTCTGCAGTAACTTCTCTGATGAAGCTCTTATATCTTGAGACATGGAAATGTTCTCCTCTTTTGAAACTGGTGCACTAGGATCTTCTTTTCCTAAATTAGAGTGAGAGAGAAAAGAAGAGGAATCAATTGAGCATATCTATTAGGCATATGGCAATATGTGTGTGCGTGTGTGCGCGCGCATGCGCATGTGCACATACACACATGCACATGCCAGTAATGGAGCTTGAACTCAGGTTTTGAGCACTATCCTTTAGCTTTTTCCACTCAAAGCTGATGATAATCTACCACTTGAGGCACAGCTCCACTTCTGGCTTTTTAATGGTTTACTGGAGATAGGACTCTACCTGACTTCAAACCATGATCCTCAGATCTCTGCCTTCTGAGTAGCTAAGATTACAGGGATGGGCCACCAGCACCAGGCTCTAATATATAGATTGGGAAAGATTCTTAGATGCTACACACCCCACACCACTCACTTTACAACCTTGCCTACAGTGGCTGGGTGGCATGGCTAAAGCAATTATGTCAGATAGCTATATGAATGCTCACATGGAACACTGGCCTCAGCAGGCCACAGCTGATTTATTTAACTCTATCCACATGTAAAACATCATGTAAATAAAGAACAACAAACAATACTGAATTCAACTAAATCACCTAGGTGTCAAAATGTCCCAAAGCACTGATGGCTCACACCTGTAACCCCAGCTAAGCTCTGAGAATCTTGGTTTGAAGTCAGCCCAAGCAGAAAAGTCCATGAGGCTCTTATCACTAATTAACCACCAAAAAGTTGGAAGTGGAGCTGTGATTCAAGTGATAGAGCACTAGCCTTAAGCAAAAAAGCTTAGGAATAGCAACCCAACCCTGAGTTAAAGGCCTAGGATAAGCAACAACAACAACAACAAAAATCTCTACATCTACCCAAGAAACTGAAATCATATCTCCGCCAGGAAACAGGCAGCCAAACTCCAAAACAGAAATATTAAGAACCCTCGCCAAAAGCAGCAAATTATATACTTTTGAACATACTTTTTTTCCTACTATTTACATTGGATTTCTTTCCCCACAAAATATTCTTACCCAATACTTTTATGTGGGAGTTTCTGGATTCTAGGGGTAGTCAATTCATGTAGTACCCATTCCAGGTGCTAAAAGACGTATTTACCATCATTTAGATATACCCAAGACCAAAGTAACTCAGCAAATTCTTCTCAAGACTAGGTGCTTCTTAAAGATTCAGTTTCAAGCCATTATCTTTGTGATTAAGTGATCAAAGTGTCCTCTACCATCTCTGCTGAAAGCACCCGCCAAAACATTCACCGAGAGAAGGATTTTCACTGCACTCCAAAAAGAAAGACACAAATACCTATTTTCTCATTGTTAGTTACCTATCCATCAGTAAAAGAGAGATAATCATCTAAGATCATCTTTTAATTTAGGCCCATAGCTCAGGAATCCCAAATCATCAGATCTTTCCAGAAGAACATCTAATTTTAGGATCTCAGTAAGAACATTTAAAAAAAATCACACACAAGGTCTGGGAAGGTGGCTCAATGGTAGAGTACTTGCCTCACATGCATGAGGCCCTGGGTTCGATTCCTCAGCACCACATATGCAGTAAAAGCCAGAAGTGGCACTGTGGCTCAAGTGGTAGGGTGCTAGTCTTGAGCTGCAGAGCTGAGGGACAGCACCCAGGCCCAGATTCAGGCCCCATGACTCTCTCTCTCTCTCTCTCTCACACTCACACACACACACACACACACACACACACACACAAAATTTGTTGATCTGTCTGTTCTGCAATATACCTTGCCAATACACTCTATAGAATAAAGAAACTGAAGAAAGAATAAGATGATAAAATACAAAATACATACTTTGATATCTAAATCCTTTATCTCAATAAAGGACAGCAATGGAGTTTAGAGAAGTGAATGAACTTTTTTTTTGGTCCGGTCGTGGGGCTTTAACTCTGGGCCTGGGCGCTGTCCCTCAGCTCTTCAGCTCAAGGCTAGCGCTCTACCACCTGAGCCACAGCGCCACTTCTTTTTGCTTATGTGGTGCTGAGGAATCGAACCCAGGGCCGCAGGCATACAAGGCAAGCGCTCTACCACTGAGTCACCTTCCTAGCCCGAATGGACTTTTTTCTATGCCAGTCCAAACCCTGGAATATAACTGTTGGCTCTAACTTAAAGTGATTATTACTTCAGGTCCCATCCCAACCACAGCAAGTCTTCTGCTCCAAAGGTCACACCAGGTCATAATCAAAAAGAGAAGGAAAGCCACAGAAGTGGGGCCAAGCACAATTTTTAGATATCACACCTGAACATGATCCTTCCAGGTTCTGTATTCATAAGATTATCCTGGTAGAAATAAGTCTTTGTTCAAAGTTACATTCTAATAAATTACACTGAAGTTTTATAGCCTTGCAGGTGAAAATCACAGATAGGGTCAATGAATGTAAAGAAATACAATGCCAAGTTGGCAAGGTAAATCACTTTAGTTCATTTCCAACAACTATGTCTTTCCACATGAATAGCAAAGTTGTTGATTCAATGAGATACTGCATTGTTTAATCACAAGATAATGCATCTATTCAATTATTCCATGTGTATTTATTGAGCACTGGGCCTTGAGAACTTAGTTAAAAGTAAAATAAATATGGCCCTAGCCTTTAGAACATATAGGTTAATGTGGAAATGATAAAAGTCATCACTCACTGAATGATGAGTGTTTAGAAATAGAAATAGTCTTAAGGAGGAAGAGAAAAGGATATTTGATTTAGATAGAAGTCAGGAAAAGGCTGTGAGGAAGTGACATTAAGATGGAGACTCGAGGGGCTGGGAAGGTGGCTCAGTGGTAGAGGGCTTGCCTTGCATGCATGAGGCCCTGGGTTCGATTCCTCAGCACCACATAAGCAAAAAGAAGTGGCGCTGTGGCTCAAGTGGTAGAGTGCTAGCCTTGAGCTGAAGAGCTGAGGGACAGCACCCAGGACCAGAGTTCAGGCCCCACAACCGGCCCTCTCCCCCCGCCACCCAAAAAAAGATGGAGACTCGAGGATAGACTGACAAGGGAGTCAAAAGACCTGCCAGCAGGGAATGGAAAGTGAGAAGAAGGAAGTTCTTCTCATAATCAAAGTCCAGAAAGAGGACCTTGAAGCAGAGCCCAATGAGCAAGGTTGGGTACTAAAAGAGGTGAAAATGAAGGGTAGATAGAAGTCAAGTCAGATGAGGTCTTTCAGGATACAGGAATCCAGAATACAAGCCTAGAGACAATGGGAAGCTGGTTTGTATGAAAGAGGGGCATCACCAAGGAAAGATTAGAGAAGGCTGAGAAAAGATATGGAAGCAGAGGTATGGCCCAAATGATAGAGCACCTGAGCAAAAAGAACCAGAAGATAGTGTGAAGCCCAGAGTTCAAGCCTCAAGGGAGACAGAGAGGGAGAAAGGAAAAGGGAAGGGAGAAGGGGAAGAGGGAAGGAGACAGAGATGGAGAAAGAGAAAGAAGGAAGGAATGGGAGAGGAGAGAGAAGGTAGAGAGAGTATATGAGATATTCAATGTAAGAAGTATACCTGATGCCAGTGGCTCACACCTGCAATCCTAGGTATTCAAGAGGCTTAGATTTCCATTCAAAGCCAACCAAGGCAGGAAAGTGTGAAACTCTTCCCTCCAATTAACCAACAAAAAGCTAAAAATGGAGCTGTGGCTCAAGTGGGAGTGCTAAAGGATAGCACCCAGGCCCTGAGTTCAAGTCCCATCTCCAACACAAAAATTAAAATATTGATATGAGAAGCAAATGATAGTTTCTAGATTTCTGTTAGCAAAAGTTATCATTTAAGAAAGTCTGGAGAAGGAAGTGAAAAATCAAGAGTTTATTTCAGTGGTACTCATTCATGCAAGGCCACCTCTGATACTATCACCGGATGATGTTACATAGGCAGATCAACAAAAGGTATGGAATTCAAAAGAGAGCTAGACTATGGCTATAAACAAAATTCACATGTTGTGCACTTCTGTATTTATATTTACAGACCAATGTGGAGAGCAGAGATTCAACCAAGTATGCTCAACTATTAAATTCAAATTCATAAAGCTCTGGCACTGCTCCCCATTCTCCATGCACAACTAAGAGAAAATGTGTTAAAAGAAGAGAACTTTTCTGAGGATGCATGTTGGGATTTGAAAATGCATAGATGTTTCCAAGAGAAATAAGGACACTGGAGGGCACACCAGGCAGACAGTGTACAAGAGGTTAATGTGGTAAAGATCTAATAAGAGATTTGTGGTCACTACCAACAAGTTGAGGATACAGTGCTGGGTGAGAAAGGTCTGAGATAGGAACAAGGTTGAGATAGGAATAAGGTAGATAAGTAATGGGGCAGACTCTGTAGCAAAGACTCTACTTACTGTCCAATATTTAATTTCTTCTTTCCTAGTAATAAGAATCCCAATTTAGTATGGTAGCTCAGTTAAAAGACTACTTTTTTTTTTTTAACCAGGCACTGCTAGCTCACACCTGTAATCTGAGGACTGTGGCTCAAAGCCAGCCTAGATGAGAAAGCCCATGAGACTCTTATCTCCAATTAACTACTAAAAAAAGCCAGAAGTGGAGCTGTAGCTCTAGTGGTAGAATGCTAACCTTGGAAAAAAAAAAAAAAAAAGAGTTCAGGAGTAGCACCCAGGCCCAAAGTTCAAGCCCCAGAACTGGCACATGCGCACACATGTGTACACATGCACATGTACACACACACAGACTACTTTGTCAACTGTTTTATAATGACAGATGGCTAACACATCTAAGTTTTAGCCAATAAAGAAAAGATTGTTAGTGACTTTCAAGAAGTATCCTTAAAGGTCTGAGAGTCAACTTGCTTTCTTACTTCCCCTCTGCTCTCTGGAATGTGGATGTGTGTGATAGCTGGAGTGCTAGCACTCATCTCTGGTGCTGCAGGCCAAAAGACTCCTCCTCTTCAGGGCATCCCGACAGAAATAACTTGAGACTGTGAGCTCCCCCTACAAGCCGTGGCCTGCCTAACTTTGGTCTTCATTAGTGAGTGAAACAAACTTTTTATTTAAGCCATGATATTTTA